TGCAAATTTTGCAGAGCGTTCTAAACAATACATTTTTGCACATTAAAGGACGTGTAATTTAAACGTATTTTTAGTACATATCACTTGTGATATAGCTTGAGCGGTGTGAAGCCAAGACTGTCTACATATAAAAACACACCACCACCACCACCTCCCGTGATTTTTAGCCCAAGCTGTATTTCCTGAATAAGAAAGGACCTAACGTCGTCCAAACCTATAATTTATAGAGAGTACCGCGCGTCCCTGGAGGTAACATCTATCGCGAAGGAAAAGCCGTTATAATTTGAAAATTAATTATTTATTAATGCGTATAAACAAAACATCACGTGGCGTTTTTGTTAGTGTGTTACGTCATGCACTGTTAGCTAGCTTCCGTCGGTGTTTTACTAGGGGACTTTAATATTAGTCCATTAATAGCAGAAATACAATGAGTCAATATGTAGGCGTACCCTGTTACTAATGGATTCCTTGGAAATTTGCATAGACACACACAAACCATTTGAACGAGGGCTGCGATCAATCTCGGTGACTCTGATAATTTTGGGTATACAAACGTGTAAGAAAAACGAACGTAATAAAATTAATTTCGGAGACGTTTTCGGTCATACTCGTTACGCTATTTCTAATGCCAATAGTGAGGGCCCATATATATTACTTGGTTAACAATATTATTCTTACTATCGCGCCCTCTGGCGTCATAACTTTTTTGTGACGTAAATTATGAATGTTATGAATATTATGAATGCTTTTCAAAGCGTCGATATTATTTTTTTGATACTAATTGCGTGGTAATTGCGTGAATAGAAATATTTTCAACTTTGAATCTCTTCAGCGCAAGGCATTATATAACTTCCGTCAGCGCCTACTTACGAGCGATAATGCTTTAATTCGTACTTGTGTCAACTCTGACAGTTTTTTCTTGTCCAAATTTTGGACTAATCTTAGACGTTGTATTTACTAGTGTTCGTGTTTGTTATGTATTTAATATGGGACTTTTTTGGCCTGAAATAAAGGATTAATAATAATAATAATAATGATACGCAGTGCTCCGTCGATAATAAATATTTGTTTCAGCGAGTCATATTTTTGATGACAAATGACAACAAAACAGAATCGACAATGCTTACATCCAGTTACGTCATTTTGACGTCACAGGGGCGCTTCGTCCCTTGAGAGCGCACTACATCCTGAATGAGTTCAGAATCCGCATATGATTCAAATTTACTTAAGATTAATACACAATCCGTAACAGTAAATACAAATTGAGTTATAGTGTCAAATTAAACTGTCTGTATCAGACAGAATATTCCCACTGTGAGTGCTACTTCACCGTATTCTAACTAATATAGTTTCTTCTATGTCATGTTACTTGGGATTACAAATATATTGAATCACTCACCATTGACCTCGAAATGGGAGATAGAAGCATATCTATGTATACATCCTAGATATGCATTCATTCAACGATAAAGGTGAAACGTAGTATATTGATTAGCTAAATGATTGCCGAACATTTCGTATCTCTAGATTCATATATTGTGTTTTGAGATTTGTGTTTTTTTAACTAATTGCTTTTAAAACAGGCATTCAATCAATCATGGATGCAGTTTACTACTGACCCCTGAGCACCTCCTCCCGAAACCCAATCGGTACATACTTTGTTTGGCAGATATTATATTTACAATTGGAACAGAAGAGCACTGTACAATAGTAATGGTGTCCTTGTACACTTAGACGATATATACCCGGCAGTCAATACACGCAAACATGGATATACCTAGAAATATTACGTTTCTAAATAAAATTCCGCAATCATAACTCCTGCTACCATATTCTACGGCTTAAAGCATGTTCGGTACAGGATTCAGTTGTACATCCGACAGTGATATCTTAATGAAAGTATGGGGTATCACTTAAAGTTATTAGTGTTCATTGGTGTTTATAACAACTGAATTATCAACTATTTCAGTCCTGAATGTATGCTAATGAGAAACGCGTAGGTTCATATTAAATAGTACACACGAGTCAGGAACTAAAAAAAATTCGCGCCTGCCCATTATCGCTATGACAAGGACGCATATTACAACTGAGACGAAAATAGCGTGTACGTTTTACGGAGTGTGTGAATCTAGAGACAGTTATCAATAACGTCTTTGCATTTTGTCATTTATCTTCATGCCTCATTTCAGCGGCTATGCTTTCTAATTAATTTATTTAATAATTTCCAATTACTGTGCAAGGCGTCAACGAGAGTTGATGCAGATACAACTCACAATGCAGTGCACTCATTGTGCGTACGCGCGAAAAAAAATCACAGTCAGCATGTACAAGAAAAGAACACCATTCTGTCCTCGGCTGTATTATAGCATTTACCGCGAACATAAACCCCCAGCCAGATCCAAGTACTTGTAAGTACCACTAAACGAGAAGCACATCCCGGACACACGCAGAGAGTGCGTTAAATGTCCCTGGATTGATTTCAAAATATCTAATTTTATAATTAACATTCCAGTATATAGTGAAACTGTGGCTACGTAACTTTTATAATCATGTTGGAGACTAAGATTGTTTTAAACAATGTATTCTCGTTTACAAATAATAGGCATACACGATAAACAAAGAAAATCATGATCCCAGATGATGCCGACGAGCATGGGACTATTCAGCGTATAAGTAAAATAATGAATAAATAACGATATCAGATCGAAAATCTCATTTCCTGACATCAATGATGCATACAATTCTACGGTTACCATGACGACGTCGAATTATATTAATGGATTATTGGCGAGTGTTGTTTACAGTGTTTTAAAAGGAAAAGTCAAGCCAGTAAGTCATCGGTATTGATCGTTCCCGTCTGCTGGCGTGGCTTATACTCAGTCGTGCCGGTCTGCTGTCACGTACTCTCGTTGAACGTAATGGTGTCACCTCACTCTATGAATATGTATTACTTTCCGTTACCATGGTACGGGTACCGCTAGACGAACATGGATACCGACATTCGCGAATTGCATTAGTTCATTATTCTATCACTGAAACAGCTGATTTTGTTTTAAATTGCATTTTTCATTAAAATGTTTATATATATTCGCTTATTTCTTTCATTAGTTAGTACATTGATAAGTCTGATTTGTTTAACTGCACATTTCGTTAAAATGTTTACATGAAGCAAATCCATCACTTATTGCAGTTTTGCAATTTTCCAAACATGCTGTTTATCTTAACGCCTGGACGCTTCAAATGAAGTGGTCGAGCTCGTAATCCCCGTACCTGGTATCATAATGCCGCGTACAAATGCTATTCAAATCAACTACACACGAGGAATGTAACCAAGCAAGCATGCCCAGTGCTAACACTCAACCAATGCAGAACACAAACACAAATTGTATTGCACAATATTACCTTATCTCCTGGTCCGAGTCAGATGCACTGGTAGTTGCCCTGAGTTCCAATTCAGACCAGTCACTTCGCGGTATGCTGTTAAAACGAGGCCGATACTGAGAAAAATTATAGTGGTTGTAGTTCCGATATGGACTTCTATTATAATAGTAACTGGAATGAGACCTTCTGTTGAGCTGTCTGTCTGAACTAACGTGGCAACACACACCAGTGCCAAGCACAAACAATATGGCGCCAACGACTAGCATTATTGGTCCGACACTGTCCATGGGTCGGATATCCACGTACAGGGCGACAAACATCGTTCCCAATATGAGACAAGACACGCCGAAAAATAACAATATTAGAGCAACACACAGCTCAACTCGCCTCACTTTGGTGAATGTACGAGCTTCTGTATCTCTATGTGCGATTACCGGGACACGGGCTGTAGTGTGGTTCACCCCACCGTATGCATGTCCGTGGAGATGGCATCTGCTACGAGAGTCACGTCTGGTACCGAGTGCGCCTTTTCCACGATTCCCGGCACCCATATCCTTCTGTGTACGCACACCCGACTTCGCAACACTCAAAACGACAACGACACGCGTAATTTTCTACAGAAAATGCATCGATGATTGATTTCTTGTCAACTTTCAATCACGCAAATAGATTATCTTCGATATATTCCGCTACGAGGATGATTAAACAATCCCGGCCACGGCACACTCATCTCTGAGAAGAACTAACGAAGGTGTGTCTCCCGCCGATATTTAACAATACACGACCAGTCTTACATTTCCCAGTATTTTCAAACATCTTCATGCAAACTATCAGCTGGCTGACCTTAGGGTGGCGGGTGATTTCTTCTAGAACTACGCTTCGTTTTGACAGGAACATAAACACGCTGCGAAAAGACAAGAACAGGTCACATGAGGTCAACAGGAATGATAACATCGAAATTATATACGGGTGACGTCATCACCATAAACGCGAAGCAGGGACAGCCAGCAAAACTGCCAATTTTAGGCTTCCGTCGGCGTTATATAATGCGGGATGCAAGCTTTATAGCACGCGAGACTCATTGTGCGGTCTATAACCTTTTTAAAACCTCCGAAGCTCATCAAAACTATCCTTGTCGTCTAAGCTGCTATTCAATGACCCCCACTAATCGCGCTGCTACGACAAGGTCGTCATCATATCATAATAAAAACACTTGTCAGACTTGTTAATTGGAGTATTGGTGAAAACCTGACATGAGTATTTCTAGCTGTCACTTGGGAGGTGCTTGCTTTATGAAAGAAATTATTTTCAACATATACTCAAGTCGCATTTTGCTAAATATCTAGCCTCGCCTCGTTACGATAGAACGCACAGGGACGCTTAATTAACCCAATTGACTCTAGAAAAATGTAATTCGTCGCTGCAGTAATTGTGACCCCGGGTTCAAAGTATATATTCTCGTTTCTCGATGATAGCAGTAACCGCGGAAATCCCCCGCGGCGCTCGCGCATGAATATTGCAGAGGTGTTTTGAAACGGAACTAGCGGTTTTGATTATTGATTAACTAGTCTACGTTAAACGCTGTCTTTCAGAAGATCCTGGGGAAGCAGAGACGTATATTATGAATGCCTGATAACGAAATTACCCCCACCTTCGGCACTTTGCATTGCATGGCAATAGTGTCCAGGTTGTCAAAACGTCACAGTGACGGTCGCGTTGTGCTAGATCTGAGTCCAATACAAACGAAATTAGAAGGCGCCCTGAATAACGATCGTTGCATTTAAATAAATAAATGGAACTCGAAATTATAATTATTTATAGTGTCACACCGTTTTTCCAATATGAGATTGCATACATTACAGCGATATGTAAATCATTTTTTTTTATCCGCGATGAATCACTGTGAGAGCTGAAACTGATCCGCACACCGCGACGTCCCCCCTCAACACGATGTGCTTCTTGCTAATTTACTTCAATCGTAAGCGTATACATGTGTACATAGCTGTGATAATGGCGGAGCTATGCGTTAGTTGTCGACCAGTTGAAACCATGAAGGGGGTGTCATGAAAGACTCGTTAACAAAATGCTGAATATCGCTATGTAAGAAAAAAATGCATGCAACGTGTTGCAAGAAATACGTGTTGGCAAATTAAAAAAAAATTGCAAATAAGACGCCGCTAAAAATGCACTGATCTTGCTCAACTGGCCACCCCTGTGATTAAAAATGGTTGACTCCTTATCAAGCATTTCCGTTCTCAGTGTAATATTTACTGTTTATATATTATCGTGTATTACATGCTTTTTTAATTTCTTATCTTCACCAGTAGCAATTTGCAAAAAAAATGTATTAACACGAGTAAAGATTGTTCGAATCCGTCTTCGTAGACGTTGAGAAACTAGTGGCAATCACTGTACACACATCTCGTCTGCACCCCGATTTAATGAAATCGGTGATTTACTCATCAAGCCTCGTATTCGTAATCTCTGAAGACATGAAACAGGACATAAAAGTATGTACGTATCTGCTACACACATCAGATTGAAGGTGAACAAGTCCTTGTGATGTCATGCCCTGCATATGTTCACCAAAGAAACAACATATTTTAAAATGTATGAACGTACTCGAAACGTCAATCCGAACAGTTTTAGCGTAGGTCAAAGCAACACCACCTTCTGAATATTTGCGACGATTGACGACCTTTTCGTCGCCTTTTAACCTCACAATTATTGTTTCAATATTTGTTTCCTGTCTGTTTTACGTTTGTTTTGTGGTCTGCATCACAATATCCGCAGTACTACGGTCACGATAAATATGATGTATATGACACATTGGGTATAACCGTTTCCCCGAGGAACTGTTCAAAATAGCCCGACTTTACAGACAATTGATAGTGTTGAGGTTATTTGGACCCAAAAACTTTCTATTCCACAAAGTTTAATATTTGACATACACACACTAATTAACGATAAACCCAATTTGAAATCTGTTTATTTTGATACACAGTTATATCCCATTTCCGAAAACGAAGTAAATATATATACCGATTATCAATGCTATGGACTTAAGTTCTTATAGGAGTGGGGGTGACGAAAGTGGAATTTCATTTTTTATCCTGAATCAATCTTTCGACGTTGTCCATTAAAACTGCCATCAATACCAATATGAAAGCATCACATCATGTGTTCGATATTAGTCCCACGTGATGCATAAATTTAATTCACAACGACCAGCGCCCTTCAAGGTTGCTTGAATCGGCAGTTTAGTGATCAATGAGGAACGTGAACGCGAACTGCTGGGAAGATTACCGTGACACACTATGTTACATCGGTAGTCCGTATCAACAATGCTATTCACGGTTATCGATGGGAACAAATATGCATACTATATGGATATATTGAACCTCTCAACGACGCCCACTATAGTCCGACAAGCGGAAATGAATCATAATGTAAGGAAAAACTATAAAGTTTTACGATCAAGTATAATATAAGTGACATCATGGGAAAGCGGGATGCTAGCTAGTTATACACGGGCTACTTAACATTATAAAATATTAAATTTAAAGCAATTGGCAAGGTCAACATAATCCCTAAACATCACTATTTTACATCCTTTAGTCATGGATTACAGCGTGTCGTAATATTGCGGTATTGAATGATCTATTTACAACGTTGTTATGACCATATCAAAATGTCACGATAGTTCCAAGATGGCGGACGTACACTATTTATCTCCATAACATATTTCCCTCGCCCTGGGATTCCAAAAGCCAGCAGTCGAACCGAGAAGTATATAATGAGATTATAACGAGGATTTCGCAAAGTCTGTTTATATGATTATAGTAACGTAGGGTTCGTTTAATCGTCTAAGAACATGCGTATGCTCTATGAGTTACTGGTACGTACTGAAAAACAAAGCGTATACACGTGAGTCATTATTTCATCGAACGAACACGGGTGCTACAAAATAAAACACTATTAGTTTACAATAGATCACCATAACATGTGTAAATATTGAAAATGGAAATTTCAAGTTAAAATAAAAAAAGTAAGGTTAGTTTCAGAAAAATATATTGCGTGGCATTATACACGCGTTGTATATCTCACACAGCAATTTCAAACGCGACGCGGAGCTACTTCCGTAGTGCTTTAAGTTAGAAATCGCTCTCAAAACAGTAGACAAACCGCGTCGCTTTGAAATGGGTCTCATGCGACGTATTTAACCAGTGTGAAAAAAAAACATTATTTGTTTATACGAAATTCGAACGTACGCTGTGCGTCGACTGTGGAAATAAACATGTGGGGTGTAAATGTGTTTGTTATATTATATTATATTGATTCATTTATAACTGTGTACTAGTATTTATAGTTAAACAGTCAATGCAAACACCGCATGAAAAGTGACTCTAAACCACAACCGTCTATACCACGATGGTCAATACACGCGTAAAATCAATACTAGAAAACTTCAACTCCAGACTGAGTACACATTCACCAAAGTTATCGACCCGGAATTAAAAAAAAACACTTCATAGGGAGTCATTCCTCAACTTTTGTTTTCCATCACAGCAATGGCCCACCATGACATCTTGCACGGAAATACCATTTCCAGATCGATGCATTCGGGGTAACAGGATTTGATTACAAATACAGAACGACACCGAAACGTATTGGATGACATTCACGTACAAAGGTACATGAGAAACATGAATCCATAGTGAATTTGATCACCGATTTCATTAAGTTGAGTCAATTAAGCAATTATTCTCTTTCACTTGTTTGAAACATGTATACCCAACCGTCATCACTAATCTAGTGATTTAGTCTGGAAGATTGGATCAAAAGTATACTCATGAAGGATAGAGGGAATCATGTATCAGGAGAAGTATGTGTAGCTACATGGGTTAGGGTAATTCACAAATCAAGAAAAAATAAGCCACGAATTGCAAATTACGAATCAACTAATCACGAATAAAAAAAAAACCAAGCAAAATATAGATCACAAATAGTAGTAATAATAATTAACGTAAAATAGGTTTACAGTGGTTTGATTTGTTGAATCATAATTCGTGATTCGTTGGTTCGTGAATTACCTTAACCATGGCAACATAGGATGACGTCACCACACTTCACGTCGTTCACCAAATTATGCATCATTTGCAAGAATGGCACACTCACACTATATGATGTCATCTTGAATCAATGCCATCTTGAATGGCCCAATAACAACGAGCGGCTTCCACGTCAGTGATTCCATACGTTCCGACACATCACATTACACGTATGTGACAAATGCCCATAAAGTTCACTCTTCTAATACTTCAGGCCGCGCATATATAAAGTTCTAATACATGCTGCATCGAGATCCTTATACTAAATGTATGGATTATTATATACCGAAATATATAAATGTTAAACAAGCATATGCGCACATCCAATCGTGCCTACAATGTTAATATGCGGGGTTACTAACTAGCTTTGCTCTGTGAGCGTACAATCTTTCGCATAAAGAAGATGTTCTACATAAATACCGTCCCTAGATACTAACGTT